AGACAGCACAGATTGTGCTTGTTTTTATTATTAAAACGACAGTTTGATGAATCAAAACCTCAAGTCCCCTACCGTCAAAGAGTAACTTTTCATACAAAACATACCTGAATGTTTAATAAATATCTGTAAAAGCAGTTTTAAGTAAATAAAAGCTCTTTGCCAAACAAGGTCCATGTTTTGAAACTTCCAGCTGTGAAGCACTCACCATATAAAGCAGATACATTAAATGTTAATCACTTTAGCTCAAACTAATTAAATATTTAGCCCTACAAAGATCTAGAGAAAGTGAAAAAGATTGAATTGATTTAATGTATATAACTATTTTGAATCATAGTCTCTCCCAAGATGACTAAAATCAAACTAGATAGCATTTTATCTTTGAAACCTTCAAGGTGCAAGATCATTCAAAATTCTTCTTTTTCACCATCATTGTCATAACTACAATCAGCATCATTGCCATCATGGCTAATATTTAGAAGTTTACTCTGCTTATCTACGCGCTCATGCTCATGCAGAATTTTACTTGCTCCTTACTACAGCCCTATGAAGTAGGCGCTATTACTATTTCCATTCAGAGCCTAAAGCTTAGAAAGGTTAAGTAACTTGATGAATGTCACGTAACTAGTAGATGCCAGATCCCAGACTTGAAAGCAGGCTAATTCGGTTTAGAGGTTATTGCTAACCTTTATTTTGCCTAAAGCCCACTTCATTCACTTAAATTTGGTAAAAATTGACTTTAATCATGACCTTTTCGTTGGGACTTTTGTTCTTTTCCTTCATCAACAAATGTTGGATAAAGTATTCATCCAAGGAAAAGGGAGACAAGGTATAAATAACTGAAAAGTTGATTAATAAAGAAAATATAAAAAAATTAAAAAGCAAACACATGATTGTCAGATAAGTGGAATAGACAGTGAAACAATGCTTGGAGGACATAGAAAAGAAACTATGGTTACCAAAGAGGAAAGGGTGGGGAAGGATAAATTAGGAGTTGGGGATTAACAGACACATTACTATATATGATACAGATAAATAACAAGGACCTACTGTATAGCACAGGAAACAATATTCAATTTCTTGTAATAACATATAATGGAAAAGAATCTGAAAAGGAAAAATATACATGTATCTATAACTGAATCACGTGCTGTACACCTGAAACTAACATTGTAAATCAATTACACATCAATGAAAAATTAAAAAAAAAAGAATGCTTGGAGTTTGTTTAGCAAACTGGAGTGGAACTTCAACTGTGTCCTGAAGTCTGGAAAGACTTTAAATAAAAGTGAAGACAAGAGGGCATTCTCAGAACAGGTTGACTGCCTCTACAAAGGCAGAAAGTCTGAAAAGTGCCAGGTGAGTGGGAACAAGTGACAATAGTCCTAGAGGGCTTATGAAAGAAAAGGGAACACAGAGGGGATGGAAGTGGGCACATACACTTATACCTGATATCTTAGTACCAAGGACAGTTTTAGACCCTAGTAAGAGGAATATTTTGAATGCTCAGGAGCTGAATTTGGGTCATCTCATCTCTTCCTCCCTTAGCTGTTGTATGACCCTGTGCCATCCTATTTGTTTCATTTTCCTATCTGTAAAAAAGGGAATCATTTTTGTTCCCTTGGGTTTTCTCCTAGTCATCAAAAATGAATGAGTTAGGCCACAGTACACAAACAAAAGGAAAATATGTAATATTTTATAAGAGAAATTCATAAAAGTTATGAAATATTTGGGCATCTTTATAAAACAAGCACTGTGGAAACCTTTAAATGAAACATTTAAATTCATTCATGACAGCAGCTATACAGATCCTCAGACCTCCTTATTTTTCCTTTAAATGGCAGAAACTTGAAAAAAATTAGACGTAGTTAGCTTTCAGTTACTTGGGCCCTGACAATTCAATTTATGGATTACATAGAATTTTAATTTACTCATTTCACACGTCTTAATCAACTCTAGGTGAAGTTTAAAAGGACAAAGGATGGAAGTCGAATTGGTCAGTTTTCCGTGTTATTTACAAGGGGGCAGCAGGGAGAGGGGAGATATACTCTGAATCAAGACTTGGGGGCAGCCAATAATTGCTAGTATTGCCAGACCGGTAATAACAGGCTGATGAAAAGGTGAATACAACGTGAAAACCCTGATTAAATCAAGCGAGTCCTTCCACCCTCGGTATAGATGAGAAATTTTCCTCTCTCTCCCGCCCTCTCAGAAGGGCCTGCAACAGCATCTGGCATCACAATACTAACATTTGTTTCGTGATTTCCTCTTTATCGGGCACTCTGACACACATCACTTCTTAGGAATCAGGATCGATTCACTGGAACCTTTCTGCATTTTAAAAATAAAAATCTGCTAGGGAATCTGGGGGATGTGTTAACTGTGATCTGGATCCCTCCCCTCGAGTGAGGGGAGCTCTCCCCGTTTTATTCCAGGCCTATGACACCTCCACTCCCTCCGTGAAGCCGCCGTGACTCACATCTTGCATACCCTTCGCCCCCCACGCGCCCCCAACACACAAACCTCGGAGGACCAAACCCGAGCCCACAGCGCGTGGTCAACCCGCCCAAGCCGACTTGGAGGTCTCGCGTCTGAGTCACACAGAAAGACCACCCTCGTCGGCATCACACCCCCCCCCCGTCCCTCACACCCCGTCGCGCCGGCCGCCCGGCCTCCCCGCCTGATACACCACGCCCGTCGTCTGCGCAACTTGTTATGCTCCAGCTCGAGCCCTTGACCCAAAAACCCCGAGAAACAGAGAGCCGCAGAGCCGGCCTCGGGCGGCCTTTGATGGCTTTGTTATTGTTTGGGTTTGAATCGATACGCCCCTCCCCATCCTTCCTCCCTCGCGGCTCGACACCCAGCTCCTACCTCCCCCTCCCGCCCCGCGCCCCTCCCCCTCCATTTTTGGCGCCTTTTCCTTCCCGCCACGTCGTGGCGGCGTAGAGACCATTCTGACCGCGAAAGCGGGGCGGGGCGGGGGTGGGGCGAACCGTGTTATGCAGATCACTCGGCTTCTGGTTGGCTGGAGACG